CCGGCCACACGGGTAACAGGATCCTTACTGTTTAACTTAATTTAGCTGAAATTTTCTGCTATTTGCAATCGAATACTAACTTATTCAGATGGCAATCTCCCCAAACTAATTCATAAATATAACACAAATCTAATAATTCAGACTCAAAGCATTCTGAGGACCTGACAAAATGATTTGTAATTCATGTGAAAAATATCTAAAATTCATGTGAAAATTGAAAACAAAATGGGAAGAAATTTTGCAAAAGTATATGTGAGATCTCTATTACTGTGTAACTCAAATGGTAACATGTAATTGAAACATACACTGTTTCGAGTCATCAGATGAATAAATCAGAATGGAAAGCCCCACAAGAAACCAAAGCATACACTAATACATTGTAAGTACAAAATGATGATACAGTATTAGCTTTAAGATTACCAACCTCACACCAAAATAAACCGAAGATACATTAAAAAGTTACATGTTAAAACTGTTTCAAAAGAAAGAAAAAGAAAATTAGAAGGATGAGTGAATATTTCTCTGATTTCAAAGCTGAAAAACCCCTTTTTACACATTAAACTCCAGAAGAACAGGGACTTTTTGCCTTGAGTGCCTCTGTTCAAGTCCCACAACAATACTTACCACTGAATAGTTACTCAATTAAGATTTATTAATAATTAAAAAACCAAAGAAAATAAACATAAGTGAATTCAGATCTAATTCCAAAAATATTAAATACTTGTGCAAGCCATACTGGGTGATTAATTTGTATCAATTTTTAAAAGAAACACACAAAAACGAAACAATATTTTCATAAGGGATTCAAGGGTAAAACTAAAGGAGAACGACGGAATGATGAAGATTTTGTCTCTGGGGTGCTGGGGCGGGGCTGGCACACGGGGTGGGGAGTGGGGCTTCTGGGTGGGGCCGGCGCACGGCGGGGGGGGGTGGCTTCTGGGAACTGTCACCGTTGGGTTACTGCCTGTTCTCCTTACTCTTCACACAACGTTAGTTTCACATTTCTTCTAAATTAGCAACTCTAAACTCTACAGATGCAGACAATGGAAAAGAAAACCCAACAGGACAGAATTAATCTTATAAAACAGTACCAACCTCACTGATGACCAAAGAAATGCTGGTTAATTCATCAATGCCGCGTCATCAATCTAACAGGTTATGAAAACCAGCGAGTTCTGGGGAGCAGGGGTGCTGTGCCTTATCAAGACAATGAAACTGCATAATGAGCAACATTTTTTGAGTAGCTACTATGTGTTAGGCATTGTTCTAAGTGCTTTATGCATATTAACTCATTCATTCCTGTAAACAGTCCTACGAGAGAGTATTCTTAATTCCATCCTGAGGATCAAAAAACACATAAGGATTGATCAAAGTCACAAAGCAAACAAATTAACAGAATCAAAAAATATGAATATAAATACAGTCCCTTCTAAGGCAACTTTGCAATAGTCATCTACAACCGTGAAATGTGCTAACTGACCCGCAATTTCAGTGCTAGGAATCTGTCCTAAGGAAACAGATCTGGACGCGACCTTATATCCTGGAACAGAAGACTGGGCTACTGTGCGGATCCACCATTCGGGACTGAACACACGCATCTACCACCACTCCCTCCCAAAACACCACTGAAGTCAAAGTTAAAGGATGAAAAAGATACAAAGCAACACAGAAAAGAGAAGAATCAAGTGAAATGAAAAGCAGAGAAAAAAGTGGTAAATGACTAAGCACGTGAAAGGCAGGTGAAGACAATGCCTACAGACCAGCCGCGCCAACTCACACCCCAGAGACGCTGAGGGTGAAAGCAAGCACAAGGGCGAGAGAAGAATTTGCCATGTATGTAGAGAACAAGCAACAACCAAAAACGTAGTGGACTACTGGCTGCCGAGGAAGACAAAGGTTGCACACAAAAGATATTCATTAGGCAGCCATGCGACTTGGCTCAGCAGCTAACACTACCATACTGTGTACGTGGTAATGCAGACACACCTCGAAACTGTGACAGACCTTCAGAGTCGATAGATTCTAAAACTAAATCAAGAAATAATAATTTGTTATTTAGGAATATGAAGGAAAATACCAGGAGAAACTGATTAAGAGTTGAAAATGACTCTAGAACAGGTGGGGCAAAAAAAATGCTATATTTATTAATTAATTTATTTATTTGAAAATGCTATTTTTAAATTGTCTTACAATAATCTTTGGCTTTCTATACTATACAGGTAATATTAGAAAGTAATTTTTAAAAGAAAAATAAAAACGTGCAAAAAACCACAGAATGTTCAGAAAACCACAAACAAATCACCTATAAGTCTAACCACCAGAGACGATCACTGTCTGTATTTTGGTATCATTCAGCCCTTGTTCTATACCTGTATTTAATCCACATACTTTAGAATATTAGGTTCCTCCTAACTAGACCGTTTTCACTTAATTTGAGGGTCATCGCCTCAGTAATTACATATATATCCACATTACAAGGAACAAAATGAGCAAATGTTTATGTGATCTGTAGTAATACATCCTTGGGGTGGAGTCAGTCATGTCAATAAAAAAGCACATGAAGTTGACAATGGACTTGGCTCTGTTCAAAACTGAAGGACTGTATTTCTTTAGAAAAAATAAGATTAAGAATGTAACACATTTCCTTTACTGCATAACTAGGAAAATGTGAAAATGTTTATAATAGAAATTGGTTTCTTCTGACAAGACTTCCCTCACCTGAGGGAAAAAAAAAGTGCTTTCCCAATATGTTACTCAGTTAAAAATAAAAACCAGGTTACAACTGATGCACACAGTGAGCCCTGGTCTGCTTCCCAGGACGGCAGCAGCACAGGGGACATGAGCCCAGGAGGACACACACTGAGACGTGAATGGAGCTCTCGGGAGGCTCGTGGGGGGTCTTTGTTTATTTTCTCCTCAATACTATTCAAAATTTTCTTCAATGCCCTTGTGTTACCTCTGAGTAAGGAAAGACCATTTTCTACTCTCAAGAGTCTACAGCCAATGCATAGGGTGTGGACAGCTCAGAAGTGACCTGTGCAACAGCTGGACCTCATTTTTGCCTCTTCCGTGAACTTCAAGGAAACATCCCGTGCTGCACTGACCCTTCACATCCTGGTCAGCATCTGTGCTTGCTGGGCCTCTGCCCTTTCACTCAGGGACTCCTGAGCCTGCTACGTGCCAGGCCCTGCTCCAGGTTCCCAGGATCTCACAGTGAACAAAACAGGCGACGTCTATCCCTCTGACAGGGAAGACAGACACCACAAACACCTGAACAAAGACCTACGTTCAGCAGCGACACAGACCCAAGCGCACAGCACACACCTGCTTTCAAGCGCGACGAAGGACCAGAGATGAGGGAGTGGAAGAGATAACCGGCTAGGGAGGTCCACTAGCCATGCAGGCTGGCCATGGAGACGGGACACGGAGGCAGAGGGCAGAGCAGGCACAGGGCCTGAGACAGCAGTGAGCCTGCAGCACAGACAGCGAGACATCCTGGTGGGGAAGATGGAAGGGCAAGGGGAGGGCAGCAGTGGGTGCCATGGAACAGGCAAGTGGGGGCACAACATGCAAGGCCCTGCAGAGCCACACAGGAATCCTGAATTTATTCTAAAGGTGATGCGAAGGCACGGAGTTCTTAAAAGAGCATTCTGCCTGAGGCGTGGATACAGATCCCGTGTGGGAATGAAGCGAAGCAGGAAACCTGCAGGGAGACTGTTACAGGTGTCCAGGCAAGCAGCAGTGAGGGCCCGGAACAGCAGGGCAGAAGACCAGGCGTGGTCCGACGTGGTTACTCTGACGGTAGCTTCGCTATAACCTGCTGATGAACTACACGTGGGGAGTGAGGGAGACATCACAGATGACCCAGGGTCTTGGCCAAAGCACTGGGTGAATGGTGGTGCCATTTACCAATGGGGCTGCCCAGAAAGAAACAAGTTTGTGAGGCGCAGAAATCAGAAGACCCATTTCAGGCACATTAAACGAGATGGCCATTAAGCATTCAAGCCAAGACATCAGAGAAATAACCTTACCCACAAAGTATGCAGCTCACATGCGGTTGGGGCTGAAGATGGAAAACTGCTATTTAAAGGCCCAGAACTAAACGCTATCTCCAAGGGTGTGAGGGGAGAGAGAAGAGAAGTGGGCCCCAGACAGCCCTGAGGCCCGCTGACTTTAGAGTGGCCCGTGAGGTGTCCGTACAGTGTCTCCAGTAGGAGACAGGAATAACCTGGGTTAGAGCTGCTAGGAGGCAGAGTTGGAAAGGACCGAGCGCTGGTGACCTTTGTTAGGGGCTTCGGTGGAGTGATGGGGTTGTGTTCCAGGGAGGACTGGGAGGCCACTGAGCACAGACAACTCTTCCAAGGCATATATGTCGCTTTAGGGACAACAGACTGGCCGCTGTATCCCTAGCACCCTGCTGGCTCTGGCCAAACAGGAAGTGTGGACGCAGGGTCACTGAATGAATGCTACATCTGGAAATTTGCAATGCTGCAAACCATACTGAGAAACCCTGGGAGTCAGAGAGCTCCCTGCCTGTCCCTTTCTGTCCCAAGTGACCCTCCTTGCCCCTCCACCCACCGTGACGATGAACTGACAGACCAGCTTCCTTTCACCTTTTAGATCCGGGTGGATGCGTGGGGCTGAGAGGTACTTAATTAGCACTGGGACTGGCAGCTGAACCAAGAGATAAGGGGAAGAACTTCCCCCTTCTGCTCCCCGATTTCCCAGAGATTATATATAATAAAAGTCAACAGATAAATCATGAACACATCGCCACAGGGTCAAAAACAGACACACAAAAACAGTGGTCATTCAGACAAAACATCTTATTCCAAACCCTCTGAGACTTTAAAAGCAGCCACTTACTTTCCAAAATGGGCAACTCTTTCTTTCCAATTCAGGTACCTTTCCCTTTCCTTTATCGCAGCCGAACAGTAAAGCCCTTTGCAACAAAAGAAAAAAAAAAGGCAGTTGTCCAGAAAGCAGCCAGTTTTCCCTACCTGACAAGACGTCTTCTGCTGATTCCTTTTCTCTTCCAATTTTTTCCTCTAGAGTTGAAATGCAGAATTCATAGCCAGCAAGAGCCAAGTCCTGTCTGTAAAGCAGACACCAGTGAGCCTTCGCCTTTCCGACTCCTCCCCGGTCCTCACGCCCCCAGCCTGGCTCTGAGCACTGCCAAGTGTAAGGCAGGAAGAGGTTTTTGAATCAAGCTTCGAAGGGGTATCAATTTGCCATTTATCGAAAAAAATTTTTTTTTAAAGTCACGTGTTTAACGTAACTTAAGGCAAGCTAGGAACGCTGCCGTAGTTCCAGTAACCAACACAGCCAGCCGTTTTGTCACCTCCCACGAGAAGTTAAGGGAGCCAGCCTGTCCCTCACCCCGGCTCCACGTGAGGCCAGTGCGAACCGAGGCGAGGCCCCTGCGGTGAGGATCCTAACTGTCGACCTCGTTCACCTTCCTGAGAGGCTCATTAGTTTTACACTTTGATGCAAGTTTCTTTTACAGAATGGAACTCCTTGCTACGGCACTGGAAGGCATTTAGCCCAACTGTAGGGCCCCTCAGTCAACTGGAGGGGACACCCAGGCAGCAGGCAGATGGGCTCCGGGCAGAACAAGTGTCAACTGCTGGTTTCTAGAGACACACAGAAACATGACAGAAATTCCCTCTCCGTCCAGAAGCTCAACCCTGGTTTTCCCTCTTCCGTTTTGGCTCTAGTTGCTCACCAGAAGTGACACTAGCAAGCTCACCCCTTCGCCTCCCGTCTTTCCCAGAGGACCCCACGGTTCTACTCTGTTCTCAGAAGAACACAAGCTTCCCCGACCCAACCAGGACATGGGGTGGAAGCGGCTGCCCACAAGCTGCTCCAAGTCGGAGCAATAGGTCTGTACACAACTCCCCTCCTGCCTGCCTTTCTAAGCCTTTCTAAGCCTCAGAATGTGGCTTCATGTTTTCTGGTCTCATGCTTCTCTTGTGAAATAAAACGAAAAAAAAACCCAAACCTTTCCGAGGAGAGCACAGAGTAACTTATGGGGTGATTACCGATGGGTACCACACGGCTTTTGCCTCCTGAGAGGCCAAGGCCTTGTCTTACTCTCCAGCGGTCCCATCTTCGGGACCTAGGGCTTCACACCCCACCAACACGCAGTCCTGTCTTACTCCTTCCTTCATGGAGACGGACTCAGCTACAGTGCCCCCGACACAGACCAACCTCAAAGCTCCTCGAAAGGCTCCAAGTCAGAGGCCCTCAGAGGCTCTGGCCCATTTAGTGACCAACCAAACGCCGGGAGGCTGAGCGGGTCCCACCGAGAATGAAGGAGCCGACTTCGAGGGCCACAGGGACCAGTTCCAGGGCACTAGGCTGATGTCTCCCCAATCCGCAGCACCCCGCTTCTTCAGCAACTGAGAACCTAAGGAAGACCCACCATAGATCTTCCCTCAAACTCACCCCAAAATGTAATTCCCTAGGAGTTCTTACATCCTGAGTGTTTCTTCTTTGAGCCCACCTGGAGAACGAAGGGCGCCGGGCCTCTCAGCAGCACGCCCCAACTCTGGCGCACACCCGGACTACTTCCTAAAGCCCTTCCTGTGCAGCAGGTGGATTGTTCTTTGCAAGAATCAGACTCAGCCAGTGCTGTAAAATTAGCCCTGACTTCCTGTCCTACTCATCTGAAGGCCCGTCCCTGTCCCTAGGCATCTCCCTCCCTCCGCATTGCCTCCACATGCTTTAAACACCGCCCGCAGAACAAGCCACAGACACTTCTGCGGCAACTCTCTCGTTGCCTGCCTCCACACCCTGGTTTGGTACTTACACCAGCAAAATGGTTTCTTCAAAGCCTATTACCCAGCAGCTTTCACACTGCTCCCTCCTCTTCTAGGAAGAGCTGAACTAAAGTTCTAACTGTAATTTCCTCCCCAGTTCAAGCAGGAACAGAAAACGTGACTAGCTTTGTCACAGTGCGGCCAGAGGGGTAGGGCTGCACGCCCCACTCGGCAGGCTGGTGGAAACAGCAGGGGTGAACCTGGGAAGCACTCAAGACTTCAAAAATGAGAAATGGAACACTATGAGTGTGACACCCAATTATTCTGTTTTGTTTTTTTAGGGGGAGACACTTAGGTTTTTATTTATTTATTTATATGGAGGTACTGGGCATTGAACCCAAGACCTCGTGCATGCTGAGCATGCGCTCTATCTCTGAGCTATACCCTCCCCACCCAATACCCAATTGCTTTGGTGACTCAGATGGGTAACAGGTAAATGAAAATTATGTAACATCCCAGGGTCAAAATTTTCGACCCACAGCCCTCCTGCCTGGCTGCAACACCTAGACTCTGACTATGCTTACCTATTCTGAGCAGCGTAAATACTGGCCAGCTTTAGGGAGATTTCAATGATCACATTGTCTTCCTGTTGGGAAAAGAAAAACTAAGGAAATTCAAGACAAATAAAATTTCCTCACAGAGTATTTCAGATCAACTTTTAGACCGACTTTGGCCTGAAAACCAGTCTTCATCCTCCTGCAGGACCGAGGCAGCTGCGAGTTCCTCAGGCACCAAGCTGTTGGTGAGTGGAAGACTGGCAATTTTCATATTGGTCTTAGGGGAAACCCAGCCCTCTGGCCAAAGCACCCGTAGGGGCTGGGCAGAGCTGCTAGGAAGAAGACTACTTCGAGAACGGCTTCAGCTGGGCTGCTCCGAAGAAAGGTCCTCACCTGCTGCATGCCCCCTCCGAGCAGGTAACTCATGGTTGCTTTAAAAAGCTTTTCCGCCTAAAAGCATAAGGAAGAGAGTTTTGTTTTCCTTGGGCCTCCTATCTCTATGACCCGGGTTCTAGGTACTAGTCTGATGAACCGTTCTTTGACAAACACAACACACACACAAAATATCTGGGTGGGAAAACAGATTAAGTGTCAGGACCTCACATCCTCTGGGCACCTTAACGATTACTCTGTAATGAGTAAAAACCAACTTCAGAAATTAACTTCTCATCCAAACCCACTATGGCAGAGACCGCAAACTATCCCCTAACAGTCACTGTCCTCCCCATCTTTTTAGTTAGTCTCTTCAATTTTCACCAGGTCGAGCCTCCTTTGCAGTTAGGTGTGGTCATATGATGAAGCTGTGGCCAAGAAATGCAGGCAAAAGGAATGTGAAGAATCTTTAAATCATACTTTATATAAGGAAGCCGCTGGCCCTCCACCCTCTTTCTTCCCTCCTGTAGGCTGGAGGTGAGCCAGCTCCCTCATGAAGACGAAGCATCTCAGAAGGAGCCTGGGCTTCTGGGCCACTTCATGGAGCAGAGGTACCTCCCCCCTTCAGTGTTTAGCTGCCTCTAGACTAATGTGTTAAAGAGAAATACACTTCCCTTTTCACTTGAGTTACTGTATTTGGGGGCTTCTCTGTTACAGCAGCTTAGCGTGTACTCTAACAGAGGTCCCTTGAGACTAGTCCTTCACAAATTCACGCTATTACAAAGTGATTTACTTACATTTTCAAGTTGACCCCGTATAAACGCTAGGTTAGCCATCTGAAAGCAAATTACAAATTGTTTTTCAGTTTAGAACATCTTATTTAACAGTTCTTATTTTAAAATCTTTATGCTAGACCCCCCTTTGCTTTCACCCTCTGACTAGAAAGACAGTCCAGAGAGAAAAGTACGTTCCTAGTCTGCCAGAAGCAAAGTGCCGCTGCGGCGTGAGAGTAAATACCTGCGTGTGCTTTGGACACCCCAAACCGAGACCCACTAGTCATTGAAGAAACAAATACTAACGCCATTTGTTTCTTTTTCTGTTTGTTTCTTCTCTGTCTGGGATTGAGACTTCTTGTAAATGACACCCCAAGGGTAATAAAAACTGAAACTAAAAGAAACTTAATAAAAACAAAGCAGGCTTTAGGACACCCTGCTAGTCAGGAATGTTAACCAGGAGCACTAACCACCCTCCTCTGGCATTCACCCTCATAGTCAGTGGCTCAGACTGGTTAGAATTACCAAGTCGTAAGTGTAGGTGACGGCCTTCTTGTTGTTGCTCTTAAAGGCAAGGCGAAGAGCGTCATGCAGAAGCAGCTCTGCCTCTTCCAGCTCATCTTTCATTATGCTCAACTGGAAAGAGAAAATAATGTAAAAAGAGCTGTAAGAAAGCAGAAGCACGTGCTACCAGACAGAAGCAGATACGGCCACATATGCCGGTACGGACAAGGAAGCGGCTCATGTATTCGTCAGACATTCACCGAGCTTCTACTGTGCACCAGGCATCAAGTCTACAATGGTGAAGGGAGGTCAGCCTCCCCTGCAGCGACGTGAGGCCGTGTGACAAGGCTCTGGCCACCAGACACAGGCAGCAGGAATGAAAGCAATTTTTACACTGTATCATATAAGGAAGCTGCTGGCCCTACCACCCCTTTCTTTCTTCCTGCAGGCTAGAAGTGAGCCCAAGGGACAAGTCAGCGTGATTACAACTAACGATAAAAGCTCTGAAGCAAAGCAAAAGAAAAGAACAGCAAGGTGCTTCCACTAAACAGGAGTCAGGGAAGCCTTCCAAGGAAGTGACAAGTAAACTGAGGTAAGAAGGATGAGGAGCCAACCAAATAACGAACTGTGGGGAAAATGACCCAAACAGAGTAGGGAACGAGCAAAGGCCCTACAAGATGAAGAGAACAAAAGGAAACCCACGTGAAGGGAGGAAGGTGAAGCAGAGGATTACTGCCAATTAGGCAGCAATGCAGGGTGGGCTGTGTAGAGCCTTACGGTCACGGCAAGGAGTTTGGATTCTATCATAAATGCAGTAGGAAGTCGTTCAAAGTTTGGGGTCAAGGACGTGATATAATCCTATTTATAGTTTTAAAAAATCAGTCTGGCTGCTGCAGAGAGAATGGCAGGCAGTGGGGCACGAGGGCAGTGTGGCTAGGGTGAGAGCAGGAAAGACAGAGAAAAGGGGGCAGACTGAGAAGTATTTTGGATTTGGTGGAAAACTCCAAAAAGGATTCGTTGCTGGACTGTAAGTGTATTGGGCGGTGGTAGTTGGGTATCACAAGTTTTCAGGTGGACCCCCTTTAAGAAAGTGTGTCCCGGCTGAAAAACTGGGTAGTAAAGAGAAGATGGTGAAGGGATGTGTCCGGGAGGCACGAAAAACCAAAGGCTAGGTTGGGGCAGGTGAAGTAGGAGCTGTGGCGGGGAGTCGGGGAGGCTGGTGGGGGGAGGGGGAGGCTGTGGGGGGAGGCGGGGGGTCGGGCGGGGCTCAGAGTGGAGGAGGTTCGTCGGCAGCAATTTGGAAACGTAAGTTTGGACACTACTGGCATCCAGGCGGCAGTGAACCCCATGCAAGAAGCGAGAAAACATGGAGACGGGAAGAAAAAATTGTGAGTATGCAGAAAAGAAGAATTTAGGAAGAAGAGAGCCAAGCTGCATTCTCTGGATGCCACGCACGTGCGAAAGTCTCTAAGACAAGCCTTTCAACCCCCAAACTGCCCGCTAGCTCCGTCTGAGTAAAAGCGACGCCTGTGGCGCGGTCTCCACTCGCACTCGAGACGCGGCGGTCGGGCCGCAGGCTTTGGCGTCTGCAAGCACGACCCGCCTGACTCCGGGCCACCCTCCTTCTGGCTCATTTCCTCTCACCGTCTCCGGTAAACCCGGGGGACGCGCCACCGGCCGCCTCACCTTGGCTCGCTTCAGCAGCTGCACAATCTCGGCCTCCGCCTCGGCCGCCGCGTCCTCAGCCGCGTCCCCGCCGGCTCCCCGCCGCTCCCGCTCCTGCTCCGCCTCGGCAGGCCTCGAGAACCAGGCGAGCGCTGCGGGAAGGGGCCCTGAGGTCACCGGCCCGGCCCGCGGCCCGGCCCCCGCCCGGCCCGCTCCCCTCACCTGCCAGCAGTGGCAGCAGAGCCCGGCCCCGGCCGCCCGGCGCGCCTCGACCCGGCAGCACGTCCAGCCCGGGCGGC